TTCAAAGTGGGCCCATTTGAATTGTATTTATTTTCTTCAAATGTGCAGAGGACTCCCCAAGTGCTGTGTTTAATTTATTTTAAAGTAGGCCTGTGTCATTTTTTAAAATTCTCCTTATAAGAGTTCTTTGTTTATTATTAGAGGTAAACAGTTTTCTATAATGTAATAAATAATAAATGCAAAAAGACTGTAGTTTTTGTCTATGATGTAACAATATATACAACTTTATAAGCTATCAAGCTATCAAATATGTTTTGCGGCTGCAGACAAAAACAATTGGTGGAAAAGGGGACAAAATGGCTCTTTTGGTCAAAAAGGTTGCAGACCCCTGGGTTAGCCCTACTGTAGTCGGCTATTTTTGGCGTTAAAGCCGTTAATGGAAAGCTGTTGAATAAGTAATACAACATAATCTCATGTATAAGCACACACACTGATAATACTGAACTGAAAACAAAGCAGGCCACTGGCCCACTCATGAGGGACATTACACAACACCCCTTGTAAGAAAATGGCAGAATGTAGGCGAGTTTCATACATGTTTGGAAGAAACTCGCAGTTTGTAAAAACATATGAGATCAGTATTTCTGGCAGCTACTGTGAAACAAACCCCTTTTAGGATGACTTCCTGACAGGAAGTCATCCTAAAAGGGGTTTGTTTCACAGTAGCTGCCAGAAATACTGATCTCATATGTTTTTACAAACTGCGAGTTTCTTCCAAACATGTATGANTTGTATCTGCAAGGCTTTTACCAAACACATGCCATGCTAATGTGCCCCTTATGGTTCGCTTTAGTGCCCAAGGTTGTGCTTCAGATTTTAAAATGTCTTTGATGTATGTGTGCTTGTCTGCCAGTGTGTGTGCGTGAGCATGCGGTCTACAGTCTCTGTCTCCTTCCTTGTGTCTGTCTGCTTCCTAGTGTTTGGAGTAGACTCGGTGGGACTGTGTGTAGAGCCTGATTAGTGGCTAAGGTTTGGCTGGCCGTTGCTGCTGGAGACTTACTCGGGGGCACAAAGTCATATGTTACTCTATTGCTGGCCCATCTGCCACGTTGGCTCTATTGAGAATCTAACTGTGCACTCTGTGCATGTGCATTTATGTTAGCAGTGGTTGAAGGTTACTCAGTACATTTAAATATATCTACCTATAGTTATGATGTACTTATTGTACGATCTTGAGCACCAAAGCAAAATGATATGTTATTATTTAATTCAGTAGAGTGGTGCAGTGATGTATTTTTGTAGGCCGACCCTGAAGTAAGCTGCGCAAGGGTTCCCTCGACAAAAAAGCAACGGGATTTCTCCATAGGATTTTGGAATATTGTAAAAAATAAGATCTGTGGAAAAGAAACCTGTTTGATAAATGCACGTTTTGTTCAGCTGGATAATCTCCACATGTCTACCCTACTTTGATAATTTTCTAATCATCAACTATAGCCGGGTACAGCAGAGCTTTACAACTTCAATGTCACGCCAACTTAAGATCGATATAGAAAGATACATATTCTAAATTGTACAAGTTGAAGCCTTTGTTTTAACAGTTTGCAAGAGCGCAGGTACTTGCTTTCAAGCAAAAAAAGGGCAAACCAACTTAGCGGGAGTGTTTACATGTTCCGCGTAATGACATACAACGTCCTCGACAACTTCTGTAGTCCTATTCAGCTACTTATTAAACCACTGCTGATGTATTTAATGTCGTAGAAAAAAAATTTGATCCGTCTCTTAAATTTGTGTCAACCACAGACCTTATTTAGAGCTGTTTTCCAAAAACTAGTTAAAAAAAAATATTGTCTCTGAGACGAGGGAACCAGAAGTGGTAAAGTAGTAGTAGTAAGAAGTTACTAAAGCAGGTAAAATTGGCTCCACCTAGACCAACTTGTTTAACAACTAATGGATGGCAAGATTCAAAAATAGACATGGATAGGCATAATAACCTCTATAACAACTGGCTTACTGCAGAATGTCCCTGGTTGTGTTCAACAGCTCTAAACAATCTAAGTTGTGTAATGTGTTGTGTTTGTGATAAAACGTGTTTAAAGCCTTAGCTTTAATAGCTCCGCTCAGCAGGAAAAAGGTTAATTATCACATCCTGTTACAGACAGACAGGACACCTCATCCTGTCAAGCACACACACACCCACACGCACACACACACACTCTGAACCACACAAACAAGCCGACCATCAAACAAACTGTGTGTGTGTATCTGTCATATAAAGATGTAATCTAGCATCTGTTCGTCCTCATTTGCCTCATCACTCGGTTGGGGCCATCATTCCTTTTTTCTCATATCACTTCCTCCTACCTCCCTCCCTCCTCCTCTGCCACCACACATATTCACAATATGACAGGACGGAGTCCTCTTGGATCACGTATCTTTACTTTGATAAAATGTGTGGATTACGAAGGTTTATCACATTGAAAAATGGGCCGCAATTGAAAAATGAAATGACAGACACGTGGACAGAGGTTTTCAGTGGGTGTGAAGCAGTAAACCACAGAACATGATTGTTGTTGTGCTCCTACAATTGAGAGCTGGGACAAAAACTGACAACTCAAAAGCAACCATTAAGAAGTAGTGGGATTTATTTTCTTTAAAAATGAACAGCTCCACTTTAGATCACAAATCCTTCCAACAATATCTCTGCACTTTCTCATGTCATCCACTCGACAATTCTATCCACTTTATCTTTCTCCTCAAACACTCCCATCTTCTTCTTCCACTCCAACACTTCTCAGTGTCTCTTTTTTCCCTTACCCTCCTTTTTTGCTCACATTCACCTCCTCCCTCTCTCTCCATCCTCAATTCATTGCAAGTCTAGACAGCTTCAGGAGCAGGTGCTGATAATGGGAGAGGTGGGGAAAATGGGGTGAGAAGGAGGGAGGAAAGGAGCCAAGGGGATAAGGAAGACTAAGAGAGAACCGAGAGAGATTAGTAGATCAAGCGGGGAGGCATATGATGAAAGTTTAGAAGAGTATGGAGAGGGATGGGTCAGGTTGAGGTAGGATTGGAGAAGAGAGAAAGGAGGGGGGGATATATGGGAAAGAGGAGATCTGAGTAAATCAGGTAGGTGCTCTGCTGAGGGGAGAGATTCAGAAGAGGCTATTTTAATGCAGGGTAGAAAGCAAGTGCTGGAGGTGGGGAGAGGAGAAGAAAGGGGAGGTGATGGGAGTTTTGGAGCAAAGGAGCGAAGGAGGTTAAGAGAAAAAAGACGGAAGAAGGGAGGGGAAGTAAAGAGGCAGGGGGGGAGAAAAGGGGGAAAAGCTTCAAGAAAATGTGGGGGCTAAGTGAGAAAGAGAAGGAAGCAGAAGGATAGATAGATGTGTGGACGGAGCATGTTTAGGAGAGAGGATAGGAACAGTGTTGTTGGGCTTTTACGGGAGGACGCCTGGCTGCAAGGAAGTGAGGTGGGTAATAAGGCCATAGCTCATTCCTGTGGAGCAGCCTCTATCCTATTAGTGACTACCTCTCACTGGATGACTTATATGCACCTGGTTTTTCAGCAGCAGGATGACGGCAGATGCTTGGGAAGAAACAAACACACACACACTTGCACATTCATATTGACACTGGGCCGATGATAGGAGAGCTCTGCTCCTGTTTCCTCATGTGAACAGAGAATGGCATCAGTGACAGAGAAACCAACAGCTTACAGCAAATTGTCAGATAAAAGAAGATACTAAGTGCTTACATCAATTAAGTAGTCAGTACTGCTAATTACTCAACCGCAAAAGCAATTCACGTTACATTAAGTTTCTTACTTAGCCTAGCTGCCTCAAAGATGCCTGTAAAGAATGTTTAAAGCATCCATAGGAAAACATCACATGCTCTGTATTTCATATTTACTGACCAACACCTAACCCAGGGGTCTGCAACCTTTTTGACTAAAAGAGCCATTTTGCCACCTTTTCCACCAATTGTTTTAGTCTGGAGCCGCAAAACATATTTGATAGCTTGATAGCTTATAAAGTTGTAAATTGTTATAACATAAACAAAAACTACAGTTGTTTTAGTTTACTGTACCTCTAATGATAAACAAATAACTCTTATAAGGAGAATACAAAAAAATACACAGGCCTACTTTAAAATAAATTAAACACAGCACTTGGGGAGTCCTCTGCACATTTGAAGAAAATAAATAAAATGGACCAACTTTGAAATAAATAAAACATATAGCTGCACCCTAAAAAGAGTTAACTGATTGAATAATGACTGAAGATCGTTAGCTGTCTTCCTCTTCCGTGTTTTTCCTCCCATAGCCTATACGTAAAGGCTGCAGCACCTTTGAAAACTTCTCTCCGCATACCAAACATACCGGTAAGCCAGCATCGTTTGCTGTGAAAGCAGATAACTCTGTCCACGCAGAATTAAATCCTCTGTGTTCCTCCGATACTTTTATTTTCTTTGATTTATCCATCAAGCCGGGGGCAGTGGCGGCGCTAGGGGGTGGCTACTTGGGCTCAAGCCCCGGATGTTTTCTGAAAAGCCCCTGATGTTTCACTTAAAATATATATATATATGTATATATATACAGGGGTGCACACAACTTTCTCAGTGAGGTACTCAGATGAGTACCTGGAGTCAGTGTTTGGTACTCCAACTTCCGGCTCCCCTCAAAGTTCCCATGAAGCCCTCTGTATCACGAATATCAGCGGGTGGGGGTGCTAGTGGAGTATGATGAAGCCCTCTGT